TACAATTCATATGAACAGAATAGACATTAAATCCAGAAATAATCCAAAACCAGTTCCTGTATTTGTTCTAGCAAGCGTATCGTTTCTAATACATACTACGGGCATGAGGGTGGCATCACCGAGTGATACTTCTACCTTCATGACAATCGAAGCAAAGTTTCCCCCACAGTGACATGTAGTAATGCATACATGACTGCCATGTTTCCATAATATACACCATATGTTAGGATGGATTGGGGCCATGGGGTAAAGAGTGATACGTAGAAGTAGATCAATTTATTAAACACGTCACATGTTGGTCGGTTCCAGTCACTTCGAGTTAGAGATTCCAGTGTGTGGACAGCTACCGGCCTCGTGGGGCAATGGCACATCAATTCTCATTAACATACTGTTTTAAATTATTGTAAAATAGCCGTAGATACCGCATGATACCTAGTGTGGATGAATACATGTAGTCTGGATTGGGGATGACATGCGGCTTGGACGGGGGATTACTTTGTATATAGGGTGGGGGTATGGGGTGTGGTTGGGGGAGAGTGGATGGATAAATTTTTTTATGTAGTTGTATGTGACGTTCCAGCCAAAGGCCAGAAGGAAGTTTGACTACACCAACTGCGATACTTCCTCAAAGGACGCTGAGAGAACAGGTGTAGTTGTGAGCGAGTCATGGTAACTTGTCTATGAATTATGAAACTATCCCGTGATTACACCAATGATGATAAAAACACTGTGGTCACGCCTACAAGCGTGCAAGCAACTGAAGACTATTTATTTAATAATTCCCCTAGGAAAGCTATGGCGCCGATTTCAAGACAACAATCTTTGTTGAACAACAATCAGTTAGATAGCGTGCAGGGCCTAGTCGCACTACGGCGCAATTCCATGCGCGATCAGTCGAGTATGACAAGCGATCTCAATTGCCCAACAATATGATATCATCTGCCCCTGTATTCACGCAGATCGGTTCAACATTTGTGAAATTGCTACTTTGTGGAGTAATATATAACATACGTGACTTTGATTGGATGGAATTATGTGTAATTGCTTGTTGTACTTCTTTGATTTTTCCGCTGGCGGGAAGGTCACCAACAACATCGGGATCACACAGTTTAACTCTTGCCCAGTATCAGTCACACAGTGTACTACTGCACGTTGCCATCTACTCGCACAACATTATCCTCACTGTATCGTGAAGTAATGGCTACATGTAAATGTGATTGTCCTTGCAAGGGCCTTAGGTAATGAAGCAGAAAACAACGTCCAGATCTACATGGAGCATGGACCATCAGACGTGAAGCAGAGAAATACGCCCAGAACTATACTGAGCATGGACCATCAGACGTGAAGCAGAGAAATACTTCCAGATCTAAACGGAGCATGGACCATCAGTCGTGAAGCAGAGAAATACGTCCAGATCTATACGGAGCATGGACCATCAGACGTGAAGCAGAGAAACACTTCCAGATCTAAACGGAGGATGGACCATCAGACGTGAAGCAGAGAAATACGTCCAGATCTATAGGGAGCATGGACCATCAGACGTGAAGCAGAGAAACACGTCCAGATCTATACACATTTATAGCAAACATTACAGATAGCAGATTTTATTAAGTGACACATCCTATTTTGGAAGAAAGCACAAACTGGATATTGAATCTTTATTGGTGTTAATGTACAGGTTACTCGTCGTGACATCGGGAAGATGATAAGACACCACAGTACTTCACTATCCCGAGTCAAATTGTTTTCTGTCCAAATATACTGAGCCGCATCAAGTATCGTGATAAACTTTAAAGATACAAATATCACACTCTCTGAACTCGTGTTAGTTCTCACATACTAAAATACTGAACTGTATGTGCATGTGTGTGTATGTTACATGTAAGGCCGGGTTTGTGGGTACAGTACCAGGTGTGTATAGTGTGGTCTACCAGGTGTGTATAGTGTGTGACTTGCTGTGGTCTACTGTATCTGTATCACGTGGTCCCACTGTGGTCTACTGTATCTGTACCACGTGGTCCCAGAGTGGTCTACCGTTTCTGTACCAAGTGGTCCCAGAGTGGTCTAACGTATCTGTACCAAGTGGTCCCAGAGTAGTCTACCGTATCTGTACCAAGTGGTCCCAGAGTGGTCTACCGTATCTGTACCAAGTGGTCCCAGTACGGTCTATTGTATTTGTACCATTGTGGTCCCAGATTGGTCTACCGTATCTGTACCAAGTGGTCCCAGAGTAGTCTACCGTATCTGTACCAAGTGGTCCCAGAGTGGTCTATCGTATCTGTACCAAGTGGTCCCAGTACGGTCTATCGTATCTGTATCACTGTGGTCCCAGAGTAGTCTATTGTATCTGTACCAAGTGGTCCCAGAGTGGTCTATCGTATCTGTACCATTGTGGTCCCAGTAAGGTCTACTGCATCTGTATCATTGTGGTCCCAGAGTGGTCTATCGTATCTGTACCAAGTGGTCCCAGTACGGTCTACTGTATCTGTATCATTGTGTTCCCAGAGTAGTCTATGGTATCTGTACCAAGTGGTCCCAGAGTGGTCTATCGTATCTGTACCAAGTGGTCCCAGTACAGTCTAATGTATCTGTATCATTGTGGTCCCAGAGTGGTCTATCGTATCTGTACCAAGTGGTCCCAGTACGGTCTACTGTATCTGTATCATTGTGTTCCCAGAGTAGTCTATGGTATCTGTACCAAGTGGTCCCAGAGTGGTCTATCGTATCTGTACCAAGTGGTCCCAGTACGGTCTAATGTATCTGTATCATTGTGGTCCCAGAGTGGTCTATCGTATCTGTACCAAGTGGTCCCAGAGTGGTCTATCGTATCTGTACCAAGTGGTCCCAGTAAGGTCTACTGTATCTGTATCATTATGGTCCCAGAGTGGTCTATCGTATCTGTACCAAGTGGTCCCAGTAAGGTCTACTGTATCTGTATCATTATGGTCCCAGAGTGGTCTATCGTATCCGTACAGAGCGGTGAGAGCAGTGCTGAAGCCGGCGGGCTGACCCGTCCTCACAGCCTCATGAACAGCCGCTATTGCGTGTTGGCCATCCATTAAATACACCAGTCTATGACAAAGTTATCAATCAACACGGACGACATTACACATTGATCCTATCAGAATATAGCTGATCACTCAAACGTTTACATAATCAAAGTAGAGCCAGTGACCTTCTGCACACCCGGCCGGTATACGTAACTCTTGCATAGTTTTCTGTAACATGCTTCATACTCATGCTTCATTTGACGGAAGTCGTCCTCGATCACGTTGCTCCCATCCTTGCCCTTGAGCGTTGGCCATAATTGTACCCATAGGGTGTATACTAGGCCCACCCTGTGTACACCCTGATACCTGCAGCCCGCATCTGCACACGTCTTGTTCCAAATACATCTACAATCATGTACATGTCATGGGCAGTGAAACCCACCCACGTACAAATATATTTCCGAATCGAAAGTGTCCACGGTCAAAGTTTAGTTTACTTTCTATAGGCTTGTGGACACTCTGGCCTCGGGAATACGACATGCAAAAAAACAAACAAAAAAACAGTTACATTTGGCGAAAACCCAAGCATGGAAATACACATGATGATACCAACGGCATGTTCACTCACAAACGAACCAAACTAAATGTGATTATATTTTAGCATGATCTACATTCTATTATATCCACGAATATAACGAAGTTCAGTTATCGAAGTATCCCATCTCTACACCACCATTTCAGTTACAACTGATAAACTAGTTGATTATTATTCTGATGATTATTGTGAAGCAGTGATTCCATGCTTATAGTACATATGCAATTCAATACACAAATTCATATACTATGTTACCCTGTAGAATTTATTTACAACGAACGTTTGGATTGAACGGTCTCGTACTTGAATGTAACGGGAAGAACCCTTCAGACGTACAACTGTAGTTTGGTAAATGAAAAGACAGTTGTAGGTTGTAGGTCGGGAAGTTAGCGGTCATTGGAGTGAGACTGGTTACATGAGAGAGGGGAATCTGGTACATCCCCCGCAAGGCAGGCCGAACGACCGACCACACCGTCACCGAGCGATTGTTGCTGAGAGGGAGGGAGCCTTCAGGCGGCAGATCTATTACACGACCGGGAGAGGAAACACAAAACTAGGAGAGAGCTGTGCACTCCACCCGTCATCCGGCCTACTTGACACCCCCTCCCCCTCCCCTCCCCTCCCAGCTTCTGCACTTCCTTTGCCACATCTTATCGCCAACACCAAAGTTTTACTATACAAGATAGTTAGATGCAAGAGGGTACCATTTCGCGGACATATGCCAGTGATACACAATAATGACATCATAACTTCTTGCTATAATTTGTATACTCAGGGGGTTAAGAAGTGTAACATGTGACGACCACAATGAAATATTGACAGTCTTGAAACAGACTTCAGGGATGTGTTTCCTGGTAGTATATTTCTCATTAGCGGTAAATCTTATCAAAGAGATATATTTCCGCATGTTCACTATTTCGAACCTTTCAAAATTTCGTGAGTGCATCAACTGTATTCGAACGTTGTCGCTTCAAAGTAGAGAGGAAATGAAAAGTGCTTTGCAAACTTAAAAGAAACTGAGAAACATTTCGTACTTGAAACAATTAACAAACACTAATTTAAGAGACGTTCATCAACTGGACACGAGGAATACAGTAGTACACTAGCGTGATTAATTAAACACACCAATAAGTAAACTTATCACATGTGACAGCCCAAACTCTCCGACCACCAGGTTCGCCCTCCATCAATCTGCTGTAATTGGCTTTGGGGATTTACACCCATCAAATTATGTTTTGTATTTTTAAGGTGTTTAATGCTAACTGTCAAGTGTGCATGTAGCAAATAAAATCACACTCTTTTCGCACTGTTCAAATTAGGTCAGGCGAAAGCATGAGAAAATTCAATGCACGAGTAAATACAGCGGCAATTTGTAAACATTAAAGAAAAACAAAGGGTTGTCAGCAAACACTTACCGGTGATACTGGGGATGTACAGTCCGTTCAACGTGCTCTCAGTCTGGCGGGGGTGGAAGTTAGCCACCATTCTTGAATTTTGAGCCGTTTTGAGTGTTGTGTATTCTAAGCCGTGTAACACCAACGAGAATATTGTACACAGTCGTCCCAGCGTACAGGAGTCATACCATTTGTGACCGGAGGGGGGCGAGGTGGGTTACTCAGTGCACAGCCTCGCTTTCGCGTTGCTCTCCAGCTCGCTACCTCGCTGGTGGAGCTTTTCGTTGCCGACTGCGCTTGTCAGCTGGGCGAGATCGATGGAGTTTGAGACGACTCGAGCAGATTTATTGGGGGATACTAACACAAAACTCAAATGCCATTTATTCAGTATTGAAGGAAACTGGCACCAGAACCATTTCGTCGGTTTTGCTACTCTCTGGTTCTGCACATACTGAAGGATTGAAAAAGGCATTTTTTGGCTCGGTTTCATGTTACAGGCAAGGGGGAGTGAGTGCGCTCAACTCGCAACACTCGGTGACCGGGCGTGAGTACTGAGAGACCCCGGCGGGCCTGATATGTGCCCGACTCTCTCTACTCGCTACACAAGAAACACAAGGCTAGAATGAAAGGGTTTGAAAGGGGAAAAAATGTTGCAGGGTCCCAGGGCACGCTTGTACAAGTGAGAGCAAAGCTGGACTTAATCCGCGTCATTTTTGTTAGGTATTGTAGCTCCGAGCGCGCAGATAAGTGAATCATATAAGTTAAAGTAAGGAGCGGGGCGTTTGTCGTGGATTGTTCAAAAAGGCTTACACAAAAATCATTGTCAGCTCGGAATCTATTTCAACCGCTTGGAACGTTAGAGAACTGCGGGTCGCCAAATACCATATAAGGTGCGGGGCGGGCGAGGAATCACAGACAACAGTAACAAATGCTGAATCCAACAGGAAACGATTTTCAACAAAGTCAAAATGGCTTACTAGTGAACATGTGCCACTCAGAGCTAACCCATTATTGTTAATAGACTCATGTCAACGCTATTTGGTAGATGGAATTTAACTCCTAAATCGTTACTCAAACACATTTACAATATTACATATGCGGTTTGGTAAATGGTGTTTTTGTCATGTAGATGCTCAATTATATGAAAGCGATTAAGTTTGTGAAGTTTGTGAAATGACTGCCACATCATCCCTTGGTACGCCGCACATCGGAGAGTAAAGCCCGTAAGTGAGCGGACCAGAGGCATGTACATCGCGGTGAACTGGATATTGTGGAGTACATCGTGGAAACACTAACCACTGTAAGAAGGAAAACACAGTTGCAGAGACCACCGCAACCTCGGTAGTTCTTGGCCCAGATGAACATGCGTACTCGCGTGTTTAATAAGCACAGAGAAGTCCTGTGAGGTGGGCGGCGGGCAGGGGGAAGGTGCTAGTGCGCGCGCGTGTGTGTGTATGTTGGGAGGGGGTGGGGGCGCAGGGGGTGGATGAGGTTGAGTGTGTTTGGTTAGCGCTCATTCAGTGCAGGGTGAGGAGAGGAGGGGGGTAGTGCAGGGGGAGGGGCTAGTGCAGAGGCTGGCATTTATTACCTACCTTCATCCAAAACTCCATAGAGGAATACAACCCGTGTCGCTTGAGGGTAGGGGTCGTATGCCTCACACTACCTGGACACATATCGACACATCTCTTCACTTCCAACTGAATACAGTCTTGCATTTGTCTTGACATTTTCAACAATATCTGCGGGTCTCTCTCATTTAGGCTATTGGTCACATTCTCACATACACCAAGCAAACTGACGGTCACATAAACAACGGAGACTAACGGTCACATGCACCACGCAGACTGACGTTCACATACACCACACAGACTGACGGTCACATACACCACACAGACTGACGGTCAAATACACTACGCAGACTGACGGTCACATACACCACATAGACTGACGGTCACATACACCACGCAGACTGACGGTCACATACACCACATAGACTGACGGTCTCACACACCACCCAGACTGACGGTCACATACACCACATAGACGGACGGTCACATACACCACCCAGACTGACGGTCACATACACCACGCACACTGACGGTCACATACTAAACTGACGGTCACATACACCACATAAACTGACGGTCACATACATCACATAGACTGACGGTCACATACACCACATAGACTGACGGTCACATCTGTACTATGTACACATCGCCATGCCTTCTGTACACATACCTGTATCTCCACTATACACGCATATAGTATGATCACTAACCACACATCACTGGACATGGTAATTTAAGGTGGAGGTACCTCTTTTGACGGAATCGAAACTCTCGCCCTTTGTAGTTACAAGTGTAATAATATACATATCGTGTTTTGCAGTGCATATTGTTTTCTTCGATATAATATTTGCATCAAATGTTTGACGGCTTCTGAGATAAATCATAAATGTAATATGTGAGCCTATAGTTACTTCGGGTTAAGATCGTTGTGATGACTAATGAGTCTACGAGAAGGCACCACTTTGTCAACGTCTATCCATTGATTGAACCAGCAGGTGACCACAATCAACAATTAGGCACGTACAAGTCATGTATTTTTTATGCTGCTTTGACTTCGTGTGCTCTATGAAGAAATGGGCCTGACCTATCAAAGAGACGGTACATCAACTACCGAATGGCCAGTATTATACATATCACGCTGTGATCTATCGTGACCAGACAGTGCTACACACAGCACACTGCAGACTACATCACTAACACAATGATACACACAACACATAGTTCTCTACACCACTAACACAATGCTACACACAACACACTGCACACCACTAATAAAGACATTGCTACACAACACCCAGTAAATGCTACACACTACACACTGTCCTCTATACCAGGAAAAATATAAGACAGTGATAAACACATCCCACTGCGTACTTTACCACCAACGTATGGTATCGTTGTATACAAAACTGTACCTACACGTCGTGTTGCTATATATAAAACAATGTAGCGAGTACTAACGTATCGTATCTCAGAATATAAAACAATGTAGCGAGTACCAGCGTGTCGTATCACAGAAAATAAAACATTGTAGCGAGTACCAACGTGTCGTATCTCAGAATTTAAAACAATGTAGCGAGTTCCAACGTGTCGTATCTCAGAATATAAAACAATGTAGCGAGTACCAACGTATCGTATCTCAGAATATATAACAATGTAGCGAGTACCAACGTGTCGTATCTCAGAATATAAAACAATGTAGTGAGTACCAACGTGTCGTATATCAGAATATAAAACAATGTAGCGAGTACCAACGTGTCGTATATCAGAATATAAAACAAGCGAGTACCAACGTGTCGTATCTCAGAAAATGTAGCGAGTACCAACGTGTCGTATCTCAGAATATAAAACAATGTAGCGAGTACCAACGTGTCGTATCTCAGAATATAAAACAATGTAGCGAGTACCAACGTGTCGTATCTCAGAATATAAAACAATGTAGCGAGTACCAACGTGTCGTATCTCAGAATATAAAACAATGTAGCGAGTACCAACGTGTCGTATCTCAGAATATAAAACAATGTAGCGAGTACCAACGTGTCGTATCTCAGAATATAAAACAATGTAGTGAGTACCAACGTGTCGTATATCAGAATATAAAACAATGTAGCGAGTAGCTACTGTATATAAAAAGTCTTAACATTATATGAAAGGATCTTGATATATAGTGCCAAGACCCCGTCAGTGACAGTATGTACGTTGATGCACCTGTGAACTCCTATCTATCATATGGTTCAGCGTTAACCTGTAGATGTACAGGGAACAACCCAGCTGGTATAACGTTATTTCCAGGGGAACCACTGAAGACATTGTTAGATGCATTGCAAGATGAGAGGAGTTCTTCATCGTTTTGTTTTAAACATACTTTTATCACAGAAGGTGAATGGAAACGGGTACATGTTCTCCAACTAAGGGCACCTTCTCCCAGTGTTTACATGACTGAATTACAGTTTGTTCTGTACATATTCAAAACCGTAGGAAAGTAAAGAGAACAGTCAGAACAATATAGTTTACACCAATCACTTTGTATTACATGAATAGACCTGTACATATATGAAAATTGTTATCCTATATGTTATATTATCTTGATCTGGTAAATGCCCATTTCCATTTAATATCAAGTTGATGAGATCATTGCTATATTTTGGACTTTATTGCTTATAGTTCTAAGTAATGTATCTCTTTCTACTTTCAACCTTTCTTATTCCAAGAAAAACATATATGCATTTTCACAAATAATACCAAACATTCAGCTGTATACATACATGTATTTAATTCCGATATGTATCACAATTAAACTGGCTCACTTTAAGTATCAGCTAAGTATTTATATTTAGTGTTTTTTATGACCAGTGAAGAAGTAGGATGCGATGAACAACGGGTTCTTACATTAACGGTATATCATTCCACATCATAATAGCTTATATAAACGAATCATGTGACGGTTTTAGTCAAGTATGGGAGTTGTGATATTTTCCGAATTTGTCAGGGTATTTTTGGAAGCAACCTAGTTTGGTAAAATATTGTTCATTTTTATGACCTCTCAATTTCATGACTTTGCGAAAATCAACGCCAGATATTTGAAAGCAAAAGGTTTACGAATGAAAAGAGACACAACCAATCAGAATAACGTATTCTTCAATATCAACGGTAGAATTCCACGTCGCCTGATATGTCCACACCCTATACAGAAAATGCAAAGTAAATCAGAACCCATCCGAAAAGATTTCGACGTTTCTTTACACCAATAACTTCTGTGGGTAGTGTGACGCACAACATGGAGCCACTGGGCGGAGTTGCTGATCGTCTGACCTGCAACTCGTACTGTAGTCACCAGATGAAAGTTTGCAGCAGTTTGATTCGCAGTTACATTTCCTAGCGTCTGGTTTTGGATCAATCGATGATGCACCTCTGTTGTTGACATGGGGCGCATTGAACGGAGTCGATTGAAAAATGTGTGTTCGTTCTTACCAGTTCCTTTGTCTACTAATCACAGATAGTGAAACATTGACCTTTTGGGCCAACTTCTGTCAGTTTCCACCATGCTAGTAGCCCATAGACGCTCCCTACATTGAAGACGCCACATCGCTAATCCATGCACAAACAATAGTAGTCAAGTAAATCTCAACAGTATGATCT